TTGTGTTTGTGTTTGTGTTTGTGTGTGTGTGTGTGTGTGTGTTTGTGTTTGTGTTTGTGTTTGTGTTTGTGTTTGTGTTTGGTGTTTGGTGTTTGGTGTGTGGTGTGTGGTGTTTGGTGTTTGGGTTTTGTGTTTGTGTGTGTGTGTGTGTGTTTGTGTGTGTGTGTGTGTGTGTGTGTGTGTGTGTGTGTGTGTGTGTGTGTGTGTGTGTGTGTGTGTGTGTGTGTGTGTGTGTGTGTGTGTGTGTGTGTGTGTGTGTGTGTGTGTGTGTGTGTGTGTGTGTGTGTGTGTGTGTTTGTGTGTTAGTGTGTGTGTGTGTGTGTGTGTGTGTGTGTGTGTGTGTGTGTGTGTGTGTGTGTGTGTGTGTGTTGTGTGTGTTGTGTGTGTGTGTGTGTGTGTGTGTGTGTGTGTGTGTGTGTGTGTGTTTGTGTGTGTGTGTGTGTGTGTGTGTGTGTGTGTGTGTGTGTGTGTGTGTGTGTGTGTGTGTGTGTGTGTGTGTGTGTGTGTGTGTGTGTGTGTGTGTGTGTGTGTGTGTGTGTGTGTGTGTGTGGGAGTGTGTGTGTGTGTGTGTGTGTGTGTGTGTGTGTGTGTGTGTGTGTGTGTGTGTGTTTGTGTGTGTGTGTGTGTGTTTGTGTGTGTGTGTTTGTGTGTGTGTGTGCCTGTGCGTGTGTGCATCATTGGTTGAGCTCTGGATCAGATCTTGCCATGCAACTACCCAATGCAGACCAAGTGCAATTTCCGACGCGGACGACTCTTGGCTCAGTCGACTGGCTGCCTGCATAGACGTATGCTCAACACTCGCCGGGTTTTTTTCACTTATGGCTGTGTTTGTGTGAGTATGGCTTTATTGAGGCCACCCATGTTGGGGTTACCTGAGAGAGGAACCGAAAGCAACCGCCTATTTGGAGGGTTCCCTATATTGGACATATAACGTCCTGATATCCAAGGAGCCTACCCAAATCCATGTTAGAATCCAAAGAGTGGCTGCACCCGCTTATTGCTGGGACTTCTCCCTACTTACCTGCCCAGGCTTTGCTTGTGGGCAGTTCTCCTTGTCCAGTTGAGGGCCACAAGCACATCACAAATCAAGACCAGGTGCCTGCAGCGCCTTGACTGCACCGGCCATTGGCGCGGCACCATTCAAGTTTTGCCGGGACGGCGGCTTCTCTAAATCGGAGGTCTTCATTCGCTGGATCATCTTGCGAGGGTTTGCAGGCGCTCTATCCAGCCTGAACTCGCCACTTCTGCCTCAGGGCGAAACGCAGTTTCCCAGTCAGCCGGTTTCCAAAACAACAGTGCAGAACATGTCGCTCGCTGACCATCCCGCCTAGCAACGCCCGTAGCCGGAGTTTCTGCATCGTCACCTGATGATCATGCTGCTTCAGGATCTCAAGCTTCATCCTGTAGAAGATTTCATCCAAGTGCTCGGTGAAGGTCTCCATGCTCCCACGTGGGATTGCCATGCCGACAAGTGCGGGAGCACACAGGGGCCATAAGCTGAAACACGACCAATGAATTCCCATGCCCTTCATACCTGCAACCTCACATGCGACACTGATTCATGCAGTCTTCCAAGATATCCGAGTTCCCATGCCAGACACTTTTTCATGTACGGCGACCGCACGCAGCGTCCCAAGATTTGCTTCGCAAACTGGGAGCTGCGAGTGCATCTCCGGCCGCGACACCTCACGTGCCACACTTTCCTCTGGCTTGCGCTTGTCTCTCAATATGGCCATGGGTCAAAATCCCGTACCCCCAGTGAACATCCCAATCGCCACTAAAATAGACTAAAATGCGTGGTGCAGCTACCCGTACCACTGGTTTTGACCGACAGCCAAATGAAGATCTATGGAAATCCAAATGCCCTGCCTTGGCAGCACGCTGTTCGCCACCTGGGAGCGGCCGTGTCCTGCAGACGACCCATCACAAGCTGCCGATTGCTACTGTGCGCACAAGGACCAGGGTGCGAGACTGCTTTAGTCGGCGCCCAGCACTTTTCCGAGACGATGCGAAGCTGCTTTAAGGTTTCTAAGTGCTACAGGCGCAACGGACCGTTCACTGCTGGACATGCGTTCGCCATGTTCATGACTTGCTTTCTGACTGAAACCGGGCAAAAGTGGCATGCCCAGCAATGTGCTATGACAGGGGCCGCCTGTAGTGCCACGCGTTGGACAAACAAATGCCCCACCACTCCAGGAAATGGGCGAGGCAAGTCGCCACAGCCGCTTACACCCTCCAAGAGTGGCAGGCAACATGTAAACACAAAGGGGCATCAATGGTGCGTGCCAATAAGCTCTGACATATATGTTCGGCCCACTGTGCCCTACCTTGTGCCCTGCCAAAAGTTCCAACAGTAGCCATTGTCCCCATGGACATTGGTGTGCGGAAAGCACGCGGCCGAAGATATGCGGCAGTGAGACAAAAGATGGGGCGCAACATGCGGGAAGCTCTCACTCTCAAAGGCCCATGCCCATGCCGCCCATGCCGCCCATTCCACCCATGCCGCCCATGCCGCCCATGCCGCCCATGCCGTCCATGCCTAGCAAAGCTCTCAAGGCGTGGGGAATCCGGAAAACCCGGCTTCCCATGCCTCCGCCGGCATTGCTTTTCTCCTCTGGGATCTCTGTGACCTCAGCTCTCTTTGAGTTCCACACGGCATTGGCATCCACTGAGGGGTTGGCCACGCATTCTGTCGTCGTCATCAATGATGCAACGGAGGCAGCATCAGCAAGCGCACTTCTGACTACCAGAGTCGGGTCCTTGAGGCAAGCGTCTTGCAGGCCAGTGCAGCGTGGTATGGGCATAAGCTAAGGCCGAGTCAATGATGCCGCTGCCAATCATGTCCACATATTCATGGGTCTGGGCCTCTGGAGAACACCAAGCCTCCTCTGACTCACCGATTGCTGGACCCGAAACCGCATGGGTTGGGGGTGGCAGTGAAGCCCCTGCAAACGTCGCATCCAGCACCCTTTTACCAGCCCAGGGCTCGTGGCTGTCCCTCATTGCAAGATGCAAGACATCCAGCCGGATTTGAAGATGCCCGCGCTGTGGGTTTCAAATGACAACAAACCTCTGTTGCTGCTCCTAACTATGTGTCAGGCGCACCAGGTTTGACAGGAGTGTGGGTAGAAGAAAAAGTAATGTACAGGCAATGGGGTTCGGTACTGAAGCATACGTCGGTGCTTGTGGCATGGAATGGGGGAAAGACATGCTAACATTGATTGGTGGCTGCCCCTATCAACAAGACAGCGATCCTAGCATGGCTGCTGCTCGCCATGTTCAAGTGGGTCTGTGCCGGAGAGAAAGGTTGAAGCCAAGTTGATGCCCAGTGCTTGCGGGCATTGCAGGGGGGAGCTTGGTCAGGGTTTTGAGACAAAAGCTTGTCGGAAAGTGAGGTTACCGGATAGATTGCAGGGCCTCGACCTGTGAAACAGCACCAAGCGTCAAACATCATCATCGGGAACATCATCACAACTGTCAAAGTCAATTCACCGCGCTTGGAGCACAGCATGCAATTGGGATATCCTGATAGGGCCTGACAGGGTGGACAAAAGTCCAACTTAAGAGCGGCTGGGCGTTGAGACAGGCGAATCACACGTGGCGAGTGCCCATCGGGGGGCGGCAATAAATGCTTCAATGCCAGAAGACCCTGTCAAGGTCAGGCTGCGAGCTGAGCTGCCAGCAGCTCAGCTCGCAACGTGTCAGAGGCATTGAGATATGCATGAGATGATCTGGGCACGCGGCATTGTACCCAAGTTTGCTGTCGCCCTTCCTCGGGTGCACTCTGGGATTCTCCGACGGCATCCAAGCTTTGCGCACGTTGCCGCTCAGGCTCTTGAGCAAGTATTCCACGATCACTGAACCTTCCTTGCCCGCATTCTGCGTGATGGCCATGATAGGCACCTGGCCAGCTTTTCAAGTGCAAGCTTTGACAGCCCTCGTCTGAAAATCAAGTGTTTAAGCACACTTGATGCTTTCCCACCTAAGGTTTACATATTCACCGGCCTTCAGCGCCTGCTTCACAATGTCCTGCGCAAGTGGGTCCCATGTGCCTCACTTGCCTGGACGAACGTCCTTGCCCACATTCTGGTCAAAGTTTCCAAGGTCCAGTGCCTCGCAGAATGGCTGGAATCTCTGCCAGGCCCGGCACTTCCAAGGCCCCGAAGGATGTCCCCACCCTCAGCCCACAGGCGGCCCCTTGCATCTCCCGCCTCCAGCTTCTGAGAGCCTGAGACGTGGCAGATGCTGGCCACTGCACCTTTTTCGCCCCGACAATTAGCGAAAAGAAGGAACAGGCCAAACAAGATAACCAGCACCATGAATCCACAGCCTGGTGGGGAACTGCAAGAAAGGAACACACACACACACACAGCACTATGGCACACCGCACGACCAACCAAGAAAAGCTAACCATGTACACACGCACGTGCACCCACCCACCCACCCACGCCAGCACCCATGCCCACGCCCACACCCGCGCCCAAGCCCACGCCCACGCCGACGCCCACGCGCACGCCACCCTCACCGGTCCACCCTCACCGGTCCACCCTCACCGGTCCACCACCATCAACACCAACGACTCCCGACACAACAACAAGCTGCTGTTGCGCCAGTGCTGTGTATTGTTGCTTCTTGTTATTTGCTGCTGCTGCTGCTGCTGCTGCTGCTGCTTTCGACAGCAGCTGCATGATGCATGTGCATGGATGCAAAGAAGTCATGACAAAGAACCAGCTGAGAGCAAGCAAAACAAGGCAAATATGTCTGGGCAAAGGACAGTAGAGAAGCGCAGACCCTCCTCCTGGCACAATACCTTCTGAAACAGCCGCACCTTGGCTGCTTCTGCACTGCTCTGAGCAGAAGTAAAACTCGGCACGCAGCCTTCGCTACATACATGACTCGGGCCGAGGATCGTGTCGCACACAAAGCATCATCCAGTCTGTCCTTGATCTCCCCCACCTCTACCTCTGAAGCGCCGCCGACCTTCAGCGGGTGTCCGGACCACTTTGCAAGAAGCAGTTGCTCCCAGCCTTGATGACAGCGACCCCGCCGGACAACTTTGCCAAACCTGTCCGCGGCTGCAGCCAAGCAAAACCACGCACGTCGCCGAATGGCACGGTGAACCTTGGCGACTTGAGGGCTGCGCGTTCCTTCAGCTTGTCCTTCTCGTATTGGGAGGAAGTGTTCTCCATGATTGCCTGGTGAGTTAAATGGCCGTGCCCTCCGTTGGCGCGTGGCGGGCCTCAATTTGCTCGGTGCGGGCTTGAATGTCGTCCTTGCCGCCGGCACCACCTGAAGGCAACGTGCAGTGAGGGCTTTCCCTGGCAGCATGCCCTGGTTCCAGATGCGAGCTACCCAGGCAGCAACAGGCCAAGCTCACTGCGCCGAGACTTGACTCAATTCACGCATGTCATGCCAGGGCAGAGGGCATCTGAACCACCTGGTGTTCAAGTGAAGCTAGCCCAACGTTGCTGCCAAGGCGTTGACAAAGAATGAGCTAAAGACTCAGATGTATTTGTTTTCAAAGAGCGGTTGTATGTTTGCTGGGGGCCCTCCCATCTCCGCCCCAAACTGACAATAGACGGCAAACACATTCATATGTCAGACACTTTCAGACACTCAAACAATGTGACAAGCTAGGCAGTGGCATCAAGAACCAACTGCCGCACGAAATCTGTCTGCTATAGCCCCGGCCTAGGATGACCGTGTCATCCTTTGTGATTGAAATTGTCTCTGCCTGAGCGACTTCGATTTGTGTCTAAAAAAGCCGCCGCCATCTCCTAATATCTGCCTTTTCGCTGCAGCACTGTTGTGTTTCTCCGAGGCGAGAGCTGTGCCCAACCAGTTGACATCAAAAGTTTCGTCCAGCTTCCGTCCGGCATCCTGCGCTGAAAGGATTCAGCCATGCAGTAGACTAGCAGTTGGGCCTCGCTCACCATTTCTGCTCCGCACAGCACGGCCTGGGGCTTTTGACTTAGGTCTCGGGCTGGCTGGCTCCCGGCCAGGTCTGAACGTTCAAGCATTCGGCATGTCGCGCAGTCTGAAGGCCCTGCCAAGTCTTGCAGCATCGCCTTGCGCTGGTCTCCGAATCCTGGGGCCTGGCAAGCACGTGCAGCTCGAGTTGGGAATGCCCAGTTTGAAGTTGAGGATATTGTGGGGTCAGTCCTCAGGGGTAGCATGGCTGTGTGGGCACGGTTGTGCCGTGGGGCTGCAAGAAGAGAGAAGACACAGAACAAAAAGAACAAGCAGGGAGCATAAGAGGATGAAAATGAGTACAAAAAGTCATGTTCTAGGCTCACACATGTTGCTCAAGACTACATAAGGGGCAGTTCCTGAATCACATACCGAAGCCATTCACTGTGAAAGGGGGACAGCCCCGCTGAAGCCCCCCACACACACAATATGTAGATATAGATGTGTGTGTGCACATCTATACACACACAAAGGCACATAAACATCAAGACACACACACACACGCGCAAACACACAAACACACAAACACACAGACACAGAGAGAGAGAGAGAGACACACACACACAGAAAGACATAAAGACATAAAGACATAAAGACATAAAGACAGAAAGACAGAAAGACAGAAAGACAGAAAGACAGAAAGACAGAAAGACAGAAAGACAGAAAGACAGGAAGACAGGAAGACAGACAGAGAGAAAGACGGGACGACAGAAAGACATAAAGACAGAAAGACAAGACAGAAAGACAGACAGGAAAGACAGAAAAAAGAAAGAAAAAAAGAAGGAAAAAAAGAAAGAAGGAAAGACAGAAAGAAAGAAAGCAAGAAAAAAGACCGACAGACAGACAAACACCATCCATATCCCTCTCTCTCCCCGAAAAACACACATACCGGCACAAATGCAAGCAACCAATGCGGCACTTTTTCAAGTCACTGCGCACGTTGATGACAGCTCCTTGCCTTCACTTTGGGCTCGGAGCTCAGACGGGCGCTCACTGGGCAGGTGGCTCGCTAGTGGCTCAGTGCAAGGCGCCGCCGCCCTTGCCCTTCCTTCGTACCCATGAGGCCCATGAGGCACGCTTTTGGGCAAACTCTTGGGCAAGCTTGGCTGCCTTCTTTGCGTCCGCGTGGCCTGACCAGCTGCGAAGATTCGTAGAGGTGTTTCAAGAAGCCATGCAGTGCATTGCAAAGTGCACGCCCTGCCTGAGCCACTTGGGGCGCAAACCAAGGGTGCACCAGGCAGTCTGTTGCCGCAAGCCTTCGCGAGCAGTCCTGCGCTAACAGCAAGACAGCGAGGCACTGATGCGCTCCGGTCGCAGTTTCCCAAAAGTGCCATGACAAGGCACGCTCTGCTCAACATCCTCTATCCAGCTTTCAAGCATCAGTCCCACAATCATGGAAGTCCTTTTCCAACATGCCAGTCAGAAACCGGTGCATATCCTGAGCCATCAATCGGCCACCATCATTTCATGAAGTCACTTGCAATGCTCTGAGGAATTGCCTCTGAGCGACTTGTTGCAAGATGGGCAACAGAGGAACATGAAGGAAAGCCCCAAGTGCCCCCCGTGCTTCGTGCCAGCATCGGCAAAAACTGCAGTCATGACAATCCAGGCATTTGGTTTCGCACATCCACAAACAGGATCAATCGAATCAACCGGAGCAACTGGCAGCCGCTTCTCTAAGTCCAAGTCTCGGGATGAGCCTTGTGAAGAGAATCGATGACCTCTTGCGACAAGAGGGGCTCTTCCACATTTCCGAGCCAGTTCAGAAAGGCATGGTCACTCCCACTCCTTACTTGGATGTGAGAGGCACGGCCAGGAACCAAGCACCGCCAAGCCTTGTAAAAACGAGTTGGGCTTCTTGCAGCCGACGTGCCGGCGCAGTTCCAAATATTTGTCGGTAAACGCGGAGAAGAGGAGCACTGACTCTAGCGCACAGATGCCAGCACTCCAGAGGTCCATGGATGGCTTGAGGGCAACCTTGCCATCGACCAAGGCCACGGAAAAAGCTGCAAAACTGTAAAACTCATGGCGGCATCAGGCAATGCTGCCGGCCACGCTCCACATGCTTCAGACAAGAAGCAGGGCAATGCTGAGCCTGTCCTGGCCCCGCCTGAGCATAGGCTCTTGCAAGTTCAGGGGCCATATAGGCTGGAGTGAAGATGACCTCCCCGAAAGTCGAGACCTGGAAGGCAGCTACTTGAGCTGCTCACTGGCAGCACTGAGAGACGCGCTGCGGAACCTCAAGGCGCAACTTGGAGGCCGAGGCACGCCCTGCTTTGATATGCAATCCTGGGGGGCAAATGCCGGCAGTTCAACCCGGTGCAAGGGTCAGCTGCAATTCACAGCCATGCCCTTGAAACTGACTTAGGTCTTGTCCAAATCGATGAGTTTCCATCTCGGCTTGCCTCCTGGCACCGCGAGGCAACTGTCAGAGGCTGATGCGTCAGCAATCTCTGCCTTTGTCAAACCGGACGATGTTGGAAGGCTTGATGTCCAAGTGCACAAGGCCGTGTCTTTGCAGCCTACAGAACAAAAACCGGCAAGTTCAGCAAGAGGGATATGCGTTTGTAGTGCAAACGTGGGGCTGGTACACCACGGACACCAGTGAACCGTGCAGATCGCGCAGCTCTCCGATTGAAAATGGCAGCGAGTTGCGGTAGCGCATGGCTAAGACATCCTCCTGAAGCGAAAACAATGGAAACAAAAAGCGCCCATTGAATCATAGAAGATGCTGGATCAGCTCACGTCTGCAAGCATTGTGGCGCTCACGCACGCAACTCGATCAAAACTCGGGCCAGGGCCAGCGACTCAGCACCGAGCTCCATCACGACATAGAGCACATCCGCCACGGGAGCTTCAGTCGAGCCCAAGAACTCCACGAAAAGCCCTACAGCTCGCAGTGGCATTGCGTGGCTTTCTTCCATGCGAGCTGAAACCAGCCGTCTCTCGCCACGTGTGCATGATCTGTCGGCCGCTTTGCAAAATAGGAAGTAGACACATGGGCGTGGTTGATCTTCTTGGCTCGTTCCACTCAGGGTCCCTTCGATGAACATCATGCGCATGCGCATTTGTGCCCACCCAAGTGTGAGTTCCTAACGATGGACAAAGCCTTCCAGCATGCGCTCTGAGTGAGGCAGCAAGCAAGACACAACATCAGCTGCAACTGAATAGGCACATGGTGGCTTGTGGTGGCAACTGAGATATGTAGAGGACGAGGGTGAGGCAGAAAAGATGGGTGCCGGGTGCTGATCCCGGCATAGCGCCTGCTTTGGCTTTTGTGGGGCGTGAATGGGTGCTGTTGCAGGCAGGCGCGACCGACCAGGAGAAGCGGCACGGGAGGCGGCAAGCCACATGCTAAGGACCCTGAAGACTATTTGGTCTGCAGCACCATCAAAGTTCCAAAGTTGGCACAAACGCTACTTGGTCTGCAAGAATGAGCCCACTGCACACAAACTGGCATATGAACCCAGGCCTGGCGACGCAAGCCTATCATGGACTGTCGCAGGGCTAGGAAAACCTCGCTGAAGCAAAGAGCGGATCTCGATGCCGTTGCGGAAGCAATGCAAGCACATCCTCAAAGTGCTGCATTTGCAACACAACATGCCTATGCAAACTCATCCTTTCGCCACGCCGCCCCAATTCACATGCCAACGAGTCGTCTCCAGTGACATGTTTTTGTGACGGTCCTGCTGGTGTCCCTGTAGATTTTCAGCGCCACCGGCTTGCCAGATCTGTCTTGGCCTTGGTAAACCCGTGCTGCACGGCCCTCTCCAAGCAAGGCTGATGTGGAGAAGGTGTACCTCTGCAGCAGCTCGCGGTCGCAATGCTGGTTAGAGGACCAGACATGCCCCTGGCCTGCCCTGCAGATTGACGACCTGCCCTTGAAGAGCTTGCCGTGACGCAGGCTGAGCCATGCGCAAGGCCCAGCACCTTTGCCAGTGAATTCAGGAGCCTGCAAAACATGCCAGCTATGCGCAACTGCAGCTTGGCTTCCGACCATCTGCTCGTTGTCAAGCGCAGCAAGCCATGGACTCTATGTTGCTACGGCCAGCTTGCTATTTGCGTGTGTGTGTGTGTGTGTGCTAGAAGTGCCTTGTCTGTGCGTTGCTTGTTGTAAGTCAGTTGCGCATGACGGCTGCCACACCTGCTAGTGAGATTCTCAGTTTGCAAAGCCTTCAGCCATCACATCACCAAAAGAGAGCTATATGACAGAAGGCCCTTTCCGGCAATGCTTTCTGTGCTGCACCCTTTCAATCTTACCCAAAGAGGCCGCCGAGGCCTTCACAGCCGCGAGCTGCAGACCTCCCCGGAGCTTGTTGACGATCATGGTTGCCAAGGCCTGGCCAACCAAAGAACCAGTCTGAGCCATCTGGCTGTGGGTCAAAAATAGGTACCCAAAATGGAACCCAGGTGAACAGAAACATGGACCAAAACCTGCGGTCCCCTGGTGGCTTAATTTTGAGCCATACCCATCTGACTCGCACCAAAATCGCATCGAGATCACATCGAGATGCCTCGTTTTCCACGTCCTCCGCGATGATCAGCAGAGGGCGCTGCGCTTTTGCGGCGTGCTCCAGCATGGGCAAAATGCTCTGCACCTTGGCCGGCAAGACTTCCCCCTGCAACCTGCAAAGAGTGAAAGGAGATGAGAGGAGCACAGAAGAGATCTTCTTGTCATAGATGAGGACCAGTGGCTTTGAGAGGACGCACTTCTGTGCCTGGTGAAGCCACCACCAAGTGACAACGGCCTTCCTTTCCGGCATAAAGATTCAGCATGGAACATTGTAAGGGCCATCCGGCACTGTCAGCTTTTGGAAGACGCCCAGCCTTGGTGTCTGTAATGAAATATGGGGAGATGAAGCCCCTGTCGATCTTCATCCCCTCGCAAGACAAAGATTTGGGGCAAGGCTTCATGTGACATCCCCATGTGGCCATGGGTCAAATCCCGTACCCCCAGTGAACATCCCAATCCCCACTCAAATAGACTAGAATGGGTGATGCACCTACCCGAAAATGGTACCATTGGTTTTGATCCACAGCCATGTAGCACGGCGAGTTTACCCTCCTACCACGCAGAAACAATGCCAACACCACGCATGCTCGGCCAGCATTCCAGCTGGCTCTTGTCGGCTCATCCCCCACCTCCACAATCTCGAGCTCGTGCTCAAGCGTCTTACCCTGAAGGGCCGTGGCTCACAACCCGATTGGGTCATACGATCCTGAGCGTCTTGCCATCCCGCCTCAGCCACTGTAATCGTGCCTTGCTTCCCCACCCTCTCAAACGCATCCGCCACCATCTTGCCAATGCCAGCATCACCGTTCGCCGAAATTGTGGCGACCTGAAAGGCTCTGCCCGGCCCTCAAGGAGCAAACAAGCAAAGACTTCAAACCGAAAGAAGCTGCAAGCCGCCTGCTGGATCTCAGCAGGCTTCGAGATTGGCTTCGAAATATTCTCCAACTCCTGCCACGTCTGAGTGCAAGTCTGAGCGCCCGAACGTGGCCCTTGGCATCTATTTGCATATCCTCCAAGACAAGCTTCACAGCCGCGTCGATCCCACGCTTCAGGTCCATGGGGTTCATGCCTGCAACCACCTCACGGCAAAAAACCACCTGCTCGAACACTGCCTCACTCTCTCTCGCCCCCTTCGGTCTTTGACAGCATGGCAATGATAGATGAATTGATATCTTATGCAGTGTAGCAAATTCTTATCAAACCATGCATGCCGCAACTGCATGTTGCACTTTTGGCATGGCACGTGCAGGCTCAAGGGCCTTGAGGTTAAATGAAGTGGAGTGTCATACAGTACACTTCTTGGGCTCAGGGTCCGACAGCCTTGGTACCTTCGCCTTTGATCGCTTGGACAGGGCCAACATCTGAATCTGGTAGTCCAACATCAGGTACAAGATGGCAGCCTCTAAATCCTAGCCAAGTAACGAAAAATAGCTCTGGCCAGCACGGTCGAGGTAGTGGTGCCATCGCCAGCCACGTCATTTGTCTTTGAAGCCACCTACTTGGGACAGTTTCTGAACAAGCATTCACCACCTGCTCGCACGCTCTCCATGGCCTGCTTGATCAGAGCTGCGCCAAGATTGTCCTGCCTTGCATTGGGAACCCTCATTGCGGACGCAATCTGAGCAGCTTTAGCTTGAGAAGCTGTGAGAGATGAACAAGGCACAAGCTTTTGATACATACTTATTTTCTACGTTGCCAACCCAACCGAATACGCGCGAGTTTGGACACGCAGGCTTCATCCAATCTCTCACCTCTCTGGGGGCTAGGCTTGTTCTTGAACTCAATTGCTTTGGCCACTGTCACGCCGTCCTTCCGACTCTACACTTGGATGGCTTGTGTGAGCATGGCAAGGCAGTGGGCTGTATGCTTCTTGTCTGCTTGTGGGCCAGAACAAAGTACAAGGGCATGCTGACCGATGTGCAGAACTCCGGGATGTTATTCTGACGTAGCCGAAACCCTCCACACAGCTCGCCCAGGCTAATCTATATAGTGCGCTTTCCTAGGCGCCCGCCCATGGCATCTTAGGGTCCCGGTTGCACTATGGGACCAGCGACTGCTGCAAGAGGAAACCATAACACACACTGAATATGAAAAGGCGAGTCACAAATCAATGATGAAGCATGCCGCAACATTGGCAAATGCCTGCGGGTGTCCTTGGTGACCTTTGGTGCTCCGAAGCTTTGCTCAATGACCACGTTTCGGCCCTTGGGGCCCAGTGTCACTGCAACGGCATCTGCCAGGCGATTGGCACCTCAGCTCATCGTCTTCCGCTCTATGCAGCTTCTGCCCTTGGGTATTGCACCGTTCAGCATCGCAGCACGGGCGCCCGCCCCATGACCTCAAACACAACGCAAAGCTGGCAGCCCAGTATGCACACCACAGCAAGAAGCATGCACATCACATGACCTCAAGGAATATACACACCTGTGAGGCCGCAGATCAACACATTCACAGTTGCCCTGGAGCTGTTTGGATGCAAATCCGTCCTTGAAGCACTCCTGAGACCAGCCCCAGAATACTTCCAAAAAATGCCCCCTATTCAGGCCCAATCCGGCCCGCTCGCTACGGGCTGCGTGGTGTTGCATAGTAGCATAGCATGATGTGTGGCGTAGGCTCACAGTGTGGCGTAGCTGCTGTGGCCCACTGTGGCATCGTACAGTTTAGTTTGGTGTGCGGAGGGGTCGGCTGGACGATGTTGTCCGCCGTTAGGTGGTGACGTTGATTCCCATATGGCAAGTCTAGCGCATCGTGTCACGCGGAGTTGCTTTGTGTGATATATGGGCATGCGCTCTTAGCTTGCGTCATTAACTCAAAGGCATCGTTGAGAGCCCCGTTCCCAGACATGCTCTTGGAGCACTGGAAAGGTTTGCATGGCTAAACGAAGAGACATGACACAACCGCAAGCAGCTCTAGGCAGCTCATGAGGTACGGTGAATTGCGAGGTTTCCCATCAGGTGCCCGACCCTGCCTGATTTGGCCTGACAAGCCGATGATGTACGGACTGCTTGCGGCGGTACATGACACGCAACGACGATGGGGTACCTTGCAAGTAGTGCGTAGCGAGCCAGCATTGTGCAAAGTGACGCGCCAGTCTGGCCAGAATGTCCTTTTGGCGTGCCGTGGAGAAGTTGGTGCAACGTGCCATCCAAGATGGCCTCGATGTGTATATATCTATATGTACACATAGTTCATCACATTTCGACGTTTGATGTGTGCAGTGCCTTCACTCCAATGTCAAATGTGCTCTTTGCTGATTGCCTCAGGCCCCATGCTTCCAGAAACCAAGCTGAAAGACACAGAAGGGGTACAGCGCGGGAGCCCACACAACCGGGGCAAGCCGCGCTCCTCCTCGTTTGGTTGCCGCTTAACGGCGGCCTCCATCTGCCCACCAGCAAAATCCCTTCTGAGTGGGTCCCTACGATCATCTGAGAATCCCAGTTGTGGCGCTAGGAGGGCAAACCATAGCCTACAGTCTTGTTCACTGGGGTTTGGCCGACTGCCTACTTGTTGGCGAAAGCCGAAGCACACCAATGACAGGTTCACAGAGCAGAGCCGCTTTACCTATCGAGTATACAAGCTACCCTGGAAGAGGCAGATATCGAATGCAAATCCCCCCCCTTCCCAACGTGGGCCGGTGCCGTTGCCAGCTTCCAGGCCAGGCCGCTAGGCCGCAGGCCGTCGCATGCACCGCACACACGACATATGAGCTCAAATGCCCTGGTCTGAGGGGATCACGGATTTCTTTTGCAGCAAAATGGCGTACGCCCCGGGCAACTGGCCTCAGCAATACTTTTTGTGAAACTGCAGAAGATCCTCATCTTGCTGGCGTCCTTTTGCCTTCTGAAACTTCACAATGAAGGGCAGGACGCGGCGGCTCGAAATTTCGACAGCATCTTGAGGAGGCGAACCTCACAGCGACGGGCTGAGGGGCCGTGTGTTTCTGCCGGCCTTCGCCCACGATAAATCAGATTAGCATGGAGTCCCAAAACCACAGTTAGAGGAAACTCCTTTGGGGACCCCCTGTTTGGGTTCCGCATTGATGGGGGATCAGTGGCTGCTACATCTGGGCAGCGCGCGGTGCACGGCCAAAGGGTCAAAACTTGAGCCAAGCAGCGGACATAGTGTTTGAACTCTCGGTGGCGTGTGTGTTCGTGCTTTGCACTTTGTGAAGTCAGTAATGGTTTGCAACTGGCAGGGCCACGGGGTCAGCTTGCAAGAAACCAGTCTCGCCTATGGAGTGCACATTCGGCGTCCCTGCGGTCCTATGCTCTTTAAGCTGTGGTTTGCTTCTCGGCCTCCCGCTTGGAGCTAGCCTCACGCCACAAAAATCGAAAGGGGCCACGTGCTGTCTACACAGTGCGATTCTGGGCTGCGAGCAGCTTGGTCCTTCTTTCTCGCAGGCGCCATAGTAACATACGCCTGCACTGGCCGAGGCCGCATCTTGCGCAGGGAAGCAAAATCCGGATGGAGGCCGCCAAGAATGAGGCTTGGGCACCGAGCGCCCCCCAACAAACTTCGAGCATACCTCCACTGGCCTTGCCCATATCATTGAGAGGACGGTCATGAATGGCTTCGTTGAAGGCATAGACCGGTGTGCGGGTGGTGACGTGCTTTAAGAAAGCCTTGGATTCTCAGATACGCCCCATGGCAGGTTCATCTGGCACAGCCCTGGGTCAGGCTTGCCATGTCTCGCCACTCTAAGCCTGCCGCCGGCTCATCGGGGACTGTCGGTGTCACCTGCTCACAAGGTCACATCCACAGGCGCTGCGGTAAGTCCAGAATTGGCTTTGGCAGAGGCACGGGCCCCTCAACTCAAGACGCGCAAGGCCTTCTTTTTGATGAACTGCGTGGCGTTTGCTCGCTCTCGTTCAGCCATGATCTCGGAGTACCTGGCATCAGATGCTGCGAAGGAAGGACCGGAGACTTTTGGGTGGCCTTCGGTACATCGGTCCAAGATACCATTCGAACTGAGGTAAGCCTTGGTCACGGAATCTGCAGTCACACAAGACTCTGGACAACATGGGGCCAGCGCGCAGACGGCACGCAGGCACTTTCGAAAACTTTCCTGTTCCTTCTCAGCGCAATGGGATGCCAGCTGAATCCAAGGCCACCAAACTTGAACATCGCGAGCCTTCGAGCCGCATCGTTGAGGGGGCCTCGCACACACTGCCGCACGCCGTGGAAACCCGCACCACACCAAATGACGAAACGATATCAGCATTCGGCCCAAAGCCCACAGGCCCCTGACGGAAGGAACGATGGGAGTCACCGGGGTCGTCATGTGTGGCCTCAATCTTCAGCTTGCAGGTTGTCGTCTTTCAAGTAAGGCAAAAGCAGCTGGCTTGCCCACCCCCCCAAAAAAAATAAAAAATGAAAGGAACCTGCGGCATCATGCAACAAGACGTGCGGCCAAGACTGCGGCCGTCGATGGAAAGGTGCTGCGGGTGGGTCTTGTGCCTCTAATTGCGCGTGGCAAGCCCCCTGCGAGCCAAACCACACAAGTACGAATTCCTGCATGATCTTTTCGATGGCGCTTCATCTGCCAAGCCTACAGCTATGAGAGGCCAACGCGGCCGACCTGCAAACAAACATGTCCTGCGACAACTGGCAATCTGACTCACAGCAAACCCAACAAAAAACAAGATAGGGGGGGGGAACGCCAAAGCGTGATGGATGTGGTGAAGAGCTGCCCTGGCACAGAGCTCAATTCCCAAAAGCAAGGCAACTAAAAGTCGAAATGTGCAACCAGCGTTGCCGGTCAAGCTCCTTTTTTTCAGTGCAGTCTGTCTACAAGCGGCCCACTGTCCACAAGCTCATCCATCATTGAAACACCGGTCAGACCAGACTCAATCTCCTCGCAGGCACTTGACATGCCCGCTTCCCTCTTGAGAGATGCCAGCAGGCTCTCAAATTCCTGGGCGGCCAACGCATGCACAATGCAAGGTCTACAACCACTTCAGCCACTGCATCGTGCAACTTGCCATCAGGGAGCATCATTGGATTGTTCCATCAGAGCAGATCTTGACAAAGCCGGCGCTTCCGGTGAAGTGTCGTCTGATTGCTGCTGCTTGATTTTCCGTCTCTCCCTCCTTAGTCGCACGGAAAGTTCAAGGCATCCAGTGCTCAACATCTTCGCAACGTGGCTCGCATGCATATCATGCGCACCCGCTTGGCGTGCATGGATTGGTAAGGGCTGCGCGAACCAGACGCACTGCAGAGTGCATAGATGTCAGTTGTGGGCATAGGGGAATGGAGGCCGCAACGGCGAGAGCTGGCTGGACTTTTTGGTGCGCACGTTTTTAGCCGTTCCAAGGACCCCAAGGAGCAAGCCACGGGACAATGCCACCGAACCCGCCCTCTGCCAGCACAGTCCAGCTGGGAAGTTGTTAGCGTGTCTTTCACTTTCTCTTTCTTTTTCGTTCTCTCTTTCTCGTTCTCGTTCTCTCTGTCTTTCTCTCTCTCTCTCTCTCGTCGCAAACACAAACATGCATTCTTGTTACGTCCGACCCACCCAAAAGTGCGCAGGGGATTCACCGATTACGCTGTGACCCAAGCACTTGTGCTCTTTTCTGCAATGATGTGACACACAGTGGCCCAGCTGGCCTACCAGCACAGGCCAGCCAGCTGGGCCAGAACAGCAGCCCCCAGGCTGAACAGGCACTTGGGCCCGGCTTCCAATAAGCCAATCACAGGGAGGGTGCGTGGGAGCAAAACGCTACACAGCTCAACCAACCCAGGGGGCAACCCCTTTCCTAACAAGTTGAGCTGGACAAGCTCTGAGATGAAAGATGCGTTGGGACAAGCTCTGAGATGCAAGATGCATTGGGATCAGCAGGGCTCGATGCTTGCCAGCTGATGCAGTCAAGGCAGCTCAACCATGTGACCCAAGCACTTGTGCTCTTTGCCATGATGTGATACACATTGGCCCAGCCGGCCTACCAACACAGGCCAGCCAGCTGGGCCAGCACAGCAGCCCCACCAAAGGGTGTCGCGCAGCATTGCGGGAGCTCAGCAAGCCTCAGAATCGCCCAGCCGCAGGGCTGAGGTCCAAGGAGCTTGCAACACATCCAGCACATCAAGCACCTCCTGATTCTCGGCGCTGAACCCGGCCGGCACGCGATCGTGGGTGCTGAGGGCATCAGCCCACACGTTACGCTCTCCGGCCACGTGACTGCAAGTGAGGCAAATTTTTAACCTACAGCAAAGAAACCCTAGCGCCTGGAGCACGTAGCAAAACTCTACCACAGCTCAACCAACCCAGGGGGCAACCCCTTTCCTAACAAGTTGAGCTGGACAAGCTCTGAGATGCAAGTTGCATTGGGACAAGCTCTGAGATGCAAGATGCATTGACATCAGCAGGGTTCGATGCTTGCCAGCTGATGCAGTCAAGGCAGCTCAAGGCTGCGAAGCAGTGCGCGCGGCCGTGCTGATGCGCCTGTCGCCGCACCCGCTCCGAGACGGCTCCGAGACCACCTCCGTCAGGCGTCGCAATTTCATCCAGGCTTGAAGATCACGCACAGGCGCACGCATTCTTAGAGGGAGCTCGCTCAATTGGTTCCAGTACCACGGAAGTTCTTGTTAACCGTCCTTTGATCATTTTGCATGTCAGTGACTTCAGAAGACCTTCCCAATGTGAAACTAGAAACAAAATACATGACTGTCTGCGATCCAATGTCTGCTTCTTCTTCCGAGACTTCTGCTGCTCCACATGGGCAGCCTCAGTGCAGAGTCGTGCCAGCTTGAATTGAATTGTCGTGAACCCCTCCGTCCCTGACATGACATCGGCATGTCTCAAAACGCCATAACCTTGAAACGGGCCCCCTCAAAAAAAGACACCCACATGTCAAGAAAACCGCATTTCCTCACCCAAGGCACATGGGCTTGCCTCTCGGCTTCCGAAGCAAGGGGTTTCTCCACTGCTTTCTTAACGTTGTCGTCTGTGGCCCAGCGGTCGACTTCCTGCACGGGCTTCCAGGCATCACACAAATGGGTGTGTCGCTTTTTGTTTGGGGGGCCCGAACAAACTGTGGTCTTCCGATTGTTGCCCCTCTCAGACAAAACTCATAGCCCAAATCTTACCTTTTGCACTGCGCAACTTCACAGCGCCGCTGCATGCGGTCAATCAAGCGGTTGTGATCGCACCTTGTAGTGAGGCGACCACTTCTGAATGCCGATGATTGGCATTGCCGGGGCAATGCCGTAGATCAGAAACACCAGCTCCGACATTGGCATATAGCCCGTAGTGTACTTCTTCAGCATGTCGCCCTTAAGCTTCAGCTTATCAATGTCGTGCTGCCTATTTCTCGTAACGCCTCAGGTGCGCCAAAATGTTCACAGAGAGCGCCCAGTTGATGGCCATGGTCATACGGACAAGGCGCGGCTCAGGTTTTCGAACCACCACTTAAACCGGGTGCGCTGTTCCTCTGGCAGCTTGCTTTTGTCTTCCCTGCAAGCTGTGGATGAACAACGCCGGAAAAGCACGCAACGCCCCAGGCCTGCCAACTCCAGAGGAGGAGAGCTGTATCCATATCCAGCCTCTTCCAAGTGAGCGGAACAGAGCTGCCCGCGACTCCGTCATGATGATCCTAGGCTTCTGGGGTTAGGGAAAGAGGTTGCGCCCGTCAGGCGCTTTGTACCCTCACGCGCCGACTGTTCTCCTAGCACCTTGTTCCGCACAATTGCACGCAGCACGACTTGGGGACTTTACAACTAAATCTCCTCCTTGTCCAAGCCGCTGCTTCGATATCCAATGGAACAGTACGCTCATGGCATCGTCGATCCAGGCATTGACTGCATCCTCATCACATCGACAGCTCCTGCTTCGACCAAATACTTCCTTGGCAAGACAGGCCCTCAACCAAAACACAAATTCAGGCGCCTAGGGACTTGGCCCTAGGCACGAATTGGCACTCTGCCCGTATTCAACATGCTTGTGCAGTTGAAGTACCCTCATCTGCGCGTTGAAGTTTATCCAGCGCGCTTCAGTGGACGAAAAGGCAATCCAGTCCGGATCCGGGCCTCAGAAACCCAGACTCGGACAAAGTGGGAATCAAACGCGATGGGCCTCGCCATGCCCCCCCTCCCCCCCCCGGCCCAATTTTCCCCAGTTCTGCTGCGGAAGGGCGGTGTCCTAAGCCCAACCCCCAGACCAGTCCGAAAAAACAACGAGAAAATCGAAGCCAGCAAGGAAAAAGTTGCGAGATGGAGGCGTTACCCGACTTGCAGAATGGCAAGTTCCTTTCTGCAAGTCGACCCTTGGATGCCAAGTTGCGCATAATCTGCTTGAGGCGAACTATGTCGTCCCGGTCCTGCTCTAAGGACGGCTTTTCTTCCACTGCCTCCTCCATTGGGCGATCAAAATGGCTTCAGGTCCAAGGCTGCTTGTCATGCGCTTGCTTGCTCACTGGCTGGCGTTCCTGCGTGCGCGCAGTTTTGCAGTGGCACCTTGGGCTTTGATGAAGTTGTTTGTGTGGGCTCGCAAAACAATGTAAGCAATGAAACATGCGAACTTGGGCAGAACACTGCTGGGCCTTACGAACAAGTTGTTGACACTTCCGCGATCAGATGCGAGTCCGACGCGGCTTTGAGCATGTTCTCTGAGCTGGCAACAGCTGCAGAAAATATGCATGCATTCGTATGTTCAATTGAAGCAGTGTGCTGCAAGACTCCTTCCCTATTCTTCTGCCCGCCGGTCTCAAGTCTTCTAAGAGTTGCCGAGCACTTTTTGCTAACGCCCATGAAAGACCCACAGCTCGCTTTGAGCTGCGACCCGCACCGTTGGCACTTCAAATAATTAGTGCATGGGTGATCCCAACTCCCAAAATCCAATCCAAGAAAAATGGTTTTCGTGAATACCCGCTGTCCAACTGATCCTGGGAGTCAACGTAATCACAGCGCCAGTTGACTGGTGTCACACAGCTGCTGAAAATGCTGAACTAAGAGAATTCAATCGCTACCTCACCTTGCCAACAGCCCCAACGGCAAAGGCAACGCGATCCACCAATTCATCTTTCGACCCTGTTGTAGGCCATCCTTGCGACCGCAACCAAGTGCCAAGCAAAGCCTTGCCCTGCTTGCGCAGCCACGTGCATAGTTGGTTACCGCCTTCACGGGCCAAGGAATGAGCGGTTGCCTCGAATTCCCTGCATTCGCGGGATGAGGCGGAAGGCACACTGGGGTTTGCTCGTTTTCCGGGCTTTTCGTCTTTGCTGCTTCTGGGAGCGGTGGTTTTTTCATCCACCTTGAGGCTTCTGGGAGCACTAGCTGAGCTGCGAAGGGACAACTGAAGCGTACACCACGCTGATTGACCTGCTTCATTTTCAGCCGCCACCTGAACAACTGCAGTGGCTTGCTGAAAGAAGCTGGGCAGTTTGGAGAGCTCCTCCTCTGCCAGGACATAGGTGGCCAGCTCGTCCAAAGACGTGAAGCGCTTCAAGCTCTCGTTGTACTCGGGCTCCAGGACGGTGATGGTCAGCGCCTGGCCATAGGCCGGGTCCAAGGCCGCCACCAGGTACCGCCGCACGGGGCAGCTGCGGCTCTCCTCCGGCGCCCGCCAGTCCAGCCGAATCCTCCGCTGGCCCACGGCGGCGCAGAGCACCGTGGCGGCGAGCCGCGTCGGCGCCTGGGGCGCCCGGAGCCGTGAGAAGGCGCGCTCGCACGAGGCCTTGGCCTCCCGCAGCAGCTCCATGGCCTCCGTGGCCTCGCGGTTCACGCCAATGCGGTCGGGGTGCAGCTTCCGCATGAGCGAGCGGAACGCCTGCTGGACCTGGGAGACCTCGTGCGCATCGGGCCCTAAACCAAGGACGGCCTTGGCACGCATGATCTCGGAGCAAAATCTCTTCCGGCGCAGTGGGAGTATTCGCGCAACCTCTTCGCATGCGGCTTCTTCTCTGGATTGCCGCGCTGCATCCTGAGCTGTGGGCATCCAGAGCTTCAGCTTCGCAAAACGAAACTGGGCTGTACTTACATGCACACACACACAGAGACACACACACACACAGACACACAGACACACAGACACACAGACACACAGACACACAGACACACAGACACACAGACACACAGACACACAGACACACAGACACACAGACACACAGACACACAGACACACAGACACACAGACACACAGACACACAGACACACACAGACACACACAACAGACACACAGACACACAGACACACAGACACACAGACACACAGACACACAGACACACAGACACACAGACACACAGACACAACAGACACACACAGACACACACAGACACACACACACACACACACACACACACACACACACACACACACACACACACACACACACACACACACACACACACACACACACACACACACACACACACACACACACACACACACACACACACACACACACACAACAACACACACACAAACAAACACACACACACACACACACACACACACACACACACACACACACACACACACACACACACACACACACACACACACACACACACACACAACACACACACACACACACACACACACACACACACACACACACACACACACACACACACACACACACAACACACACACACACACACAACACACAAACACACAAACACACAAACACACAAACACATACACAAACACACAAAAACACCACACACAAACACACAAACACACAAACACACAAACACACAAACACACAAACACACAAACACACAAACACACAATTAAACTCCAGATGGAGAGTGCTAATCTTTCGAGTACAACTGATGAGTCTCGAGTACAACTGATGAGTCTCGAGTGGGTGTGGGTTCAGCTCGCAATGCACTCGGTTTTACTCTAGTGTCGAAAACGTTACCAGTTCCAACATGAAGCACACACAGCGAGCGAAAAGAGAGGGCCAAAAGGACTTTCATCAACATCACTTCACAAACGCAGGTACACACGGGTGATCAATCCGTGCATCCACCATCAAGCATAGCTTCGTTGGCCAGCGTTTGCTTGATGGCCGCTGGCCCCCTGCTGAGAAACCGAAAGGGTGGTGACAGGGCATTCTGTCACTCCGCACACACACGCCCCTCAATGAGGGGCGAGGAGTCTCCTTTTCCGCAGGAAGATCACATGCTCAACCCCGTGTCCCTATCGTTGACCAAAAAATCCACCGCGGCGAGGGGAACGAGAAACAGCCCTAAACCGCTCAGAAGACGGGAACGAGAGATCACCACGTTGAGCATTACGAGTGTCGCCATAGAGGACTGAAGCGAGTTGTGAAGCAGTCGAGCGATCACCATGAGAAAACGGAGTAGCATAGGTGAACGTCTCCTCAACTGGAATGGCATCGGAATTCCGAACTTCACCAAGAGATTGATCATGCGAATGATGAGTTGTGAAGGACTCCATTCGAGACAGAATGCGCTGGTATCCCTGATGCTGCCAGTCGCGGATGGTCCATGCCTGACCGTGCTCACCAGTGCGCCCATTGGGATCAGTCACCCGCTGCCATTCCCGAAAAGAATTGTCTGGTAGATCAGGTACAGTTTCTCCGTGGTGCCATCGCTGAGGCTGTCCTGCAGTGTAGATCCGCACCCACTCCTGATCCTGCCAGACCGAGTATTCGAGCCATGGGTGCTGCTTCGAATCCTCGATGTCCATGTCGAAGTAAGAGGCAAGGCGTATCGCGGGCTCCGATCCAGCTGATAGAGGAACAGGCACCATGCACAACCATGTACAAGCAACAACCAAGCAAGGTAATGCAAGTGTGAAAACCACCCTTATTTTGTACGCTACCCCACTCGCGTGCGTCTAGTCCTCATTTAGCTCGAAGATAGGTCTCGCCTTGGCTTTGCAGCTGTCGGAAGGATTAACAGGCCGGTATGGTTCGGAGACCCCAACCGTCTCCGATGGTGTGATTCCACGTGATGCACGTACAGGTTGATGAAGTTGGGAAGCGTGACGTGCGCGAGCTGTCAGTTGTTGAGAAATCCCCTCTTGGAGACGAGTCAGTTCTTCGGTAGAGAAATCCGCCGCATCCGAGGATCTAAGGATCGCTTCTAACATCTGCGGTGACATACTCAATGCCGCGGATTGCGTGGCCACGCTGTGATGATCAGGAAAAGACATAGAATCAACGTCATGACCAGCTTGAGGGGCAGCGACTCTCCGATAGCCCTCTGTGGCCCAGTCTCTTTTGTACCACATGGTGACATTGAGCTGCTCACCGTCTTGGTCCGGGTTGGGAGCATAGAACTCCCTCCACTCTCTATACGTGTGCGGTGGAGGTGGAGCATCATGTTCCTCATGTGGAGTCCATGATCCCGGATGAAAGATCTTGACCCACTGGGCATCTGGTTGTTGAGGATCCGGACACCATTCCAGCCACGGCATGACAACGCAAACCCGGAAAGACAAATTGATAGGTGTACGGCTGCAGACAACAATTACTGCAAGAGACACAACAACAACCACGCAAGCAATCACTTTTGCAGCAATGCACGGCTCAGGTGTTGAAGTCCATCTCCTGAATCGAATTGAATTGAATAGACTCCCCAGGAAGACGAGGACGAGCATCAGCCACCATCTGAGTTTGAAGATGCCGACGAAGAAGTCAGTCCAGCGTACATGAGGTCCGGTGAGCCCGAAGCGAAAACTGGACGCGCAATGCTAGGGTGTGGACGACCCAGCCGTTGATATCCTCTGGTGGCCCAGTCCCGATAATGCCAAGTATAGAAGGATGCATAAGAGACCGGCTGAGAAACAGCACCCATATTGGTGCCGCCCGTGCTCTCCCTCGGCCAATACACTTCGAAGTGGTATACTTTGCGCCACTCCCGATAGGTGGTTGAGTCCTCCGGGGCAGGCCCCAAGGTGTTTTCGGCGACTGGATGCCACGGACCCGGTACATAGATCCGAATCCACTCACCGCTTGTGTTCGCGGGGCCATTGACGATGTCGTAGTCAAAGTAGTGTGGCAGGGCCCATCTTGCAGCGCCATACATTGTAGAATTGAACATATCAACCAGGCAAGCCGCTCGAAGTCATAAAGGAAAGCGGCGAACACATGGAGACGGAACGCACAACACCAAGCAAGACAACCCAACATGGAATCGCATACAAAGCAAGCACAACCGCGTCATTTTATCCGACATGTTGCTCAAGTATCACTCCGAATCGTTCCAAGGATCATAGAATGGTGGTGGTGACGGCTCTCGCCACGCCCCATCCGGAACCGATGAGTCCACCGAGGAATTGGCGTCTGCATTCACGAGCATCGCGAGTCCAATGGCTGGAAAGGAGCTCCAAGTCGTTGATACCCTCGTGTTTGCCAGTCTCGGTACTCCCACACGTGGTAGGACACATACGAACTGGGCGTGACAATGGGATCCGCTGTTGTTCCACCGGTGCTGTCTTCGGACCAGTACACTTGGAAGCGATATGACCTGCGCCACTCCCGATACGTGGAAGCGTAGACCGGGGCGAGCACTGGAGCATCATCGGGAACGGGTCGCCACGTGCCCGGTGAGTAAATTCGAATCCATTCCACTCCTCTGTCGATCTGGTACTCGAAATATTGAGGGTTCATAGCGGCAAGACAGGCTCTCGCGCGGCCGCTAAAAGCAATCGAAAATCTGCGGCGAAGACACACATGCAATGACAACCGCGCGCAGCTGAAGGGATGCAAGGCAACTTTTCAAACTCAAGGTGAGACACAGCAGCGAGGTTTGTAATATACGACGCCTAAGCTTCACCGCCGTTGATGCCGCGCACACCTGCAATGATAATGTCCTGGTCGTTTACGATCACAAGGGGAAAGACATTTCCGCCCATGGCGCAGGAAGGCATGACAGTAATGCTTGCAATTTGCCGATGGGGACAGCGATGGACGGCCAGCACGTTTGGAGGGGAACACGGTAAAGGGCCGCCGAGATCTCCGCGGTGCCGAAGCGGATGCTGTCCGAGATCGTTTGGATGAACGCCTTGGACTGCGTAGCTCTTCATCACGGGAATGGTCAGTGCTGTAGATCGAGCGGCGTGTGCGCTGCGATTTCGATGTGGCAGGGCAGGATTGTCCGCGAGGAGCTGAGATCGAGGGGCTCCTTACTGAGGGCATAAACTGTGGGTGTAGAATCACCGGTGGTGGTGGCGGTGGAGCAGGCGGAGGTGGAAGAAGCAGTGGGAAACTTGGTGGGGGCGGAGGTGATGTAGTCTGCCGAATGGGTCTGTCAAGCAGGGCTCCAGGTCCGTGAAACTGTAACCACGTCGGCTGCGCTCCATGGGTCCAAGTAACGTACGTCTGTACGACTTGTTCCGACATGATTTGAGCAACTCAGTCATGCATTCAATTCACGTCAGCGGGAACACCCACAACGGCAAGCAATATTACCCTGGTAAAATGCCGGTCAAGTGCAAGCAAGCAAATTTCATGTGATCAATAATGACTACAATCCCAACCGTCGCAACAACCTGCAGCGCTAGCCGAATACACCGCCACGGCCTACCATTTAGTCCTCCTGTGGTCGCTGTTGCATTTGATGACCGGGTTCCTAGCCGCGAGCCTCAAGTTGCTGATAGACCTTCCATGCCTGCTTGACTTCCTCAATGGGCTTCTGAAGGAACCGAGCAATGGTTTTGTAGGTGGGCCTGGAATCCTTGTCTTTCTTCCGTCGCACCATCTCATCCAGCTCACCCTGTGTCCAGGCCGTGAAAGGTTCACGGTGTGCATTGCGAAGTGCAATGGTGAATTCTTGTAGAAGTTCCCGAGGTCCATGAACCACCGTAGGAGACGGTCGGAACGACGAGGCACCTGGATGTGGACGCACTGAGCCATCA